AATCTTTGTGTGTCTGATAATACAGTTTCAAAGTATATAAAGCAAAACCAGATACAAGTACATGGAGAAACTGACAAATCCACAGTCACACTGGAAGATTTCAATGCTCTATGTTCTGAAACTGAAAGATCAACCCAGTAGGCAAAAAACAAAATAAAACAACAAAAAAAATAGAGAATTTGTATAACCATATTAAGCTTGATCTAAAATATATATATAAAGAACTCTGTGCATGTAAAATAGAGACATATATTCTTTAAAGCATACTTGGAGCCTTAACAAAAGTTGTGTACTAGGCCATAAAGGAAATGTGAAGAAGTCCCCCCTCCCCTACAAGTTGATAATTCACTGACTATAATGCAATAGAAGTAGACAACAATTATAAAAGCCAAAAATCTGTTTTTACATCAAGTAAAGTGTTGAAAAGCAAAGATGTCACCTTGAGGACTAAGGTGCCCCTGACCCGAGCCATGGTGTGTTCAGTCACCTCATATGCATGCATTGTGGTGTTGGTGAAGAATACTGACTATACCATGGACTGCCAGAAGAACAAACAAATCTGTCTTGGAAAAAGTACAACCAGAATGCTCCTTACAGTCAAGGATGGTGAGACTACGTTCTCACCTACTTTGGACATGTTATCAGGAGGGATCAGTTCCTGGAGAAGGACAGCATGCTTGGTAAAGTAGAGGGTCAGCAAAAAAGAGGAAGACCCTCAAAGGGATGGATTGACCCAGTGGCTGCAACAATGGGTTCAAGCATAGCAACAATTATGAGGATGGCACAGGACCAGGCAGTGTTCCGTTCTGTTGTGCATAGTGTTGCTATGAGTCAGAACCGACTCGACGGCACCTAACAATAACAACAAAGTAAATTTAGGGTAAAGAGGAAATACATGTAAATGACAAACTATTTAGAATAAAACCTACAGCATGTGACCAAAGCAATAGTCAGAAATAGTTCTTCTGGTTGTTTTTTGATAATATTAATGTTAGCTTTTATTCTTTTTGATTTATGTCTCACTATATATTTTCACTGTTCAAAAGTCAAAGCTTTTGCAAAAAAATGCAAATTCAGAAACATTGCAATTCCATCCCTGTCGTTTCCACCTTGCCCCCAACTCTCACTTACTCTCATAGGTAACTGTTTAAAAAAATCAGTTTTAGGTTTATTCTTCCAGAATTTCTTTTTGTATAACTAAGCAAATACTATGTGTATTCCTATTTCTATCCTGTGTTTACACAAAAGCTTGACTACTTTGACAAATCTTTTCCCATTAACTAAGATGCTGGTTTTTATGCTGAGGAATCCATTAAGTCCTATTTTATTATTTTTAGAATCAGGAATGAGCGTTGAACTTATCAGATGTTTTCCAGCTCCTGTGGCAATGATCACTGGTTTTTCTCCTTAGATCTATTAATATATCATTAGTATTTTCAGTATAACAATTTATCTGGACTCTTGATTTTCCATCCTCATTAATTAACAATTATAAATATTTTAAAACATCCCTTATAGTTTGACCTATCCCACCAAATGCATACACATTTAGTCTCTCCTTGACATTTCTAGAAATGTAACATGTTTCAGAAATTCAGGAAAATACCAAATAAAGACTAATATGTTTTCCAAACTGACTTTCAGAGAATAGACTCTGTGAATTGGTTGGCTTCCCTCTGCTTAGTCTCATTCCTTGAACTGTATGTTAAGCTTGAAAATTTTGGTTTTTCAAGATTATCTTTTATTCTTATCATTACATTACAATAATTAGAAAGATTGAAACACTAAGTAAAAACGTTTACAGAATTCCTTCTTCCTTACATTTTTCATCTCCACTCAGTGATGTATCTAACTTTGGGACTCCAAGGGAAGGTGGGAAATGAACCATTTCTAGTGCTGTTTGGCAGATCATAGGTAGCTAAAAAGGTTAGGTCAGGCTTGTTCATCACTTCAGGTCTCCAAGCATGCGAACGTTGTTTGTGTCAAAGATGTATCTAGCCCCAGGCCTTTACTTTTTATTATTCTCAGTGATTTAGACTTTGGAATTTGAGTAGCTATATATTTAAAACTGAGCCACATGTGCAACAAAATTCAAGCCTATGGGCATGTTATCTGTTTCCATATCTAATGACATAAAGTAGTTCCTAAGTCTCTCCCACCAGCCTCTCCGTTTCCCCAATTTTTTCTCACTTCTGCTGCCAAGGAAAATGCTTTAAAATTATTTGTAAGTAAGACTTATTTTCAACATTTTAATATAAAGACTAGGTCCCTGGGTGGTTCAATGGTTTGCTCTTGGCTACTAACCTAAAGGTTGGTGGTTGGAACTCACCCAGGGTCACCTCAGGAGAAGGGCCTAGCCATCTGCTGTCCTGAAGATTACAGCCAAGAAAACCCCATGAGGTAGTACTACTCTGTAACACATGGGGTTGCCATGAGTCAGAATCAACTGGATGGCCATGGGTAATATAGAGACTATGGTAAAATTTGTTGTTGTGATTGTTAAGGGCCATTGAGTCATTTCCGACTCATAGCGACCCCGTGTACAACAGAATGAAACACTGCCCAGTCCTGCGCCATCCTCACAATCATTGCTATGCTTTAGTTTATTGTTGTAGCCATTGTATCAGTCCATCTCATTGAGGGTCTTCCTCTTTTTCACTGACACTCTACTTTACCAAGTATGATGTTCTTCTCCAGGGACTGGTTCTCCTCATAACATGTCCAACGTACTTGAGACGAAGTCTTGCCATCCTTGCTTCAAATGAATATTCTGGCTGTACTTCTTCCAAGACAGATTTTTTTTGCTCTTCTGGCAGTCCATAATATATTCAATATTCTTTGCCAACACTATAATTCAAAGGTATCAATTCTTCTTTGATCTTTCTTATTCATTGTCCAGCTTTCACATGCATATAAGGCAACTGAAAATACCATGGCTTGGGTCATATGCACCTTAGTCCTCAAAGTGACATCTTTGCTTTTAATACTTGAAAAAGGTCTTTTGCAGCAGCTTTGCCCAATAGAATATGTTGTTTGACTTCTAGATTGCTGCTTCCATGGGCATTGATTGTGGATCCAAGCACAATACAAAGTAGCAATTCAGCAGACTCAGTGCTGGCACGTCCTTTCCCCTGTCTTGGTTTAAGTTTCTTTTTCCTCATTCACCAATTTCTCTTCATCGCTTTTGATCCCAAGATTTTCTCTCTGCTTGTCAAAAAACTTCTTTAGCTGTCTCTTTCCACTCTCTCTCTGTGCAGGAGGGCACAGCACCACATCAAGTATGCAATTTCTGTATTGATCTTTGCTGTGGGTATACTGCGGTTGTTGTACTTCGTGTACTCTGAAGGGCTTAGTGGTATCTTTTCCATTCATAGTTTTGAGGAGTTTCCCCTTTTTTCTTAAATAAAAACCTTTACAAAGCAATTATTTCTGAGTGAATATGTGTCCTCTTTCACTTTTACAAAAAATTTTAGACGAAATCTGGGAGAAGTCATGACTAGACTATCAGAGTTGGAAGGTACAGAGAATTACCTAACGTATCTCAAAAATTCAGGCACAGAGTGGTTGAACAACTTACTAAACACCACACAAGACAAAGAAAAACATGGAGGAAGAATAAAGGAAAGGCCTGCATAAAGCAGCATACTGATCTGAATTAGTGGCTAGGAATATAACTCAGCTGTTCTTATTTTCAGTTCATGGCTATTTTGACCACAAGAGAAATACTGGTCAGCCCAAATTGTAAGGTCAGGGAAACAGAAAAAGTTTTGTCCTCTAGTTCACTGCCCAGCTCATTATAAAAAATAAAGGTCATCTATAATTATTCTCACTGTCATTGCCTAATTCCTCTCCTCCAGGCCTAACCGCACCACAATGTCTTGGTTTCTCTCTCACCCATCATCTGCCATTTCTAAGTACTGATGGTCCAATTTCTCTTGGATCTTTTCTGCTCCTTTTAGGCTGAATTAATTCTTTTATTATTATTTTTTATTAATTCATTGGCAGAATGTTTTTTTCCACATTTTTATAAGCACTTTGGCTCTGAAAGAAGTATTTATTATATGTGTACTTTAACCCCAAAGGAAACCAGAGAAAAGTAAAGTGGAACAAGAAATTAATTTTCAATTTACAGGGATATTAACAGATGAAGTATGGTTAGAAAAAATTTCCTGAAATAAAATAACGACACTGCCATTCAATCCTTGCCATTCGTGTGGTTTGTCACAATACCAAATTAAATCCATTTTTAAGAAACGTTCTGTGTTCTTTTAAGCAAATATTTTTTTCTAAATTTAAGCAAAAGGAAAAATTCTATGCAAGTTAATAAATATTGGAGTGCTTACTATTTGCAAGGCACTGTGGTGGGCCCTGCAGAGGATACAAAAACGAACCAAGTCCCCGCTTTCGGTAGCTGGTTGTATGTCATCTTTATCTTTCGAAAAAGTCTTTGCACAGAAAAAGTGTGGGGTTTGTGCAAGAATCAGACAAATGCCCACCCTCTTGCCCCTTCATCACCAGCAGGTATAGGAGGCATGTGACACTCTTAATGATAGTAAACAGTTAAATGCTCCACTACTGACCAAAAAAATTTGTAGTTCCAACCCAGGCTTCTTAGAAGAAAGGCCTGGCGATCTGCTTCTGAAAGGTCACAGCTTGAAAACCCTACGAATGGACTCTACAGCAACTAACAAAAAACATGGAAGACTTCCTGGAGGAGGTGATTTTGACGAAGGCTTTCTCCGCTCTTATCAGGGGAGAAGGGGCGGAGAAAAATGGAAAAGATGATGGGGCGAGGCTAAGGAATGACCATTCGCACACACCAGGTCTCAGATTTACGGACATCAGGTCTCAGATTTACGGTCTCTTGCCCACGGATACAGCGCTGGAGGGACGGAGTGGAGAGCGCAGGCGCGATCCCAAGAGCTTTTAGAGAAGTGCGCCCGCGCGCCGCTGCAGCTCAAGTTTCCGGAAGGGCCTGATTCTAGAGGGGACCAAACCGGATGGAGGTCGCGCGCCCTCTTCCGCCCGCTTTCTAGTTCACCAATGCCAGGCTTCTCAGTGAGGTCGGGGTCCACAAACCCGGAAAGCGCGCGTGTGGCCTTTTTGCGCAGGCGTAGTCGGCGGTCCACACAAGGCGTGATGCTTGGCCGGCATGTCTTTCGCGTCAGGGCGTTGTATCGGCGCCTCTTGCTGTTGCATCGGGTTCTGCCCCCCGACCTTAAATCCCTGGGGGACCAGTACGTGAAGGACGAATTTAGGAGACATAAGACGGTTGGTTCTGACGAGGCCCAGCGCTTCTTGCAGGAGTGGGAGGCAAGTGACGCCCCCTTTTCTTCGCCCCAGAACTTGGGGGTCCCTTATTGGTGGCCCAGTTTGTCCCTACCAGAGATTTCCTATTTGGGCTCGTCTCCCAGGGTCCCACGCAGGCTCATACGGAGCAGCAACCCGTTCCATCTGAATTAAACAGCTTAAAGCTGTTTAAACAACACTTCCCAAAGTTAATATCCCAAGCCTCCCGACTTCTCTATGGGTTCCTCAGTGGAGCGGATCCCGTTACGTCAGCGTCTCCAATTCAGTTCTTTTTGAGTTCCTGTCAATACCAGCCCCTGGAGGGTAGGGATGGGAGGTCACAAGATGGAATAAATCACCGAAGAGTCCTAAAAGTTGTCACACTTGCAGCTTTTGGCCCCCGCCAATGGAGTCCCGGTGGCGTAGTGGTTAAGTGCTACGACTTCTAACCAAAAAGGTCGACAATTGGACCTCACCAGCCGCTCTTTGGAAACCTTTAGGGCAGTTCTCTGTCCTACAGGGTCGCTCTGAGTCGGAATCGACTCGATGGCAATGGTTTTTTTTTGGGGGGGGGAGTGAAATTAATGGCTGTTTCGCTCCTCAGTTTTCAGAGTTAGAGGCTTATTTCCATACTTTATTATCCTTAATCTAAGCGCTCTTTGTTGGGTTTTAGTAATTTTCTCACTTTATCGGTACAGAAACCAGATAACTAAAAAATTAAAGACTGTGTGGCAAACTAGTGGCGAAGTTGAAAAGTGCTGGTCAGAATTGTCAGGCCAAAGTTGTTTTCTCCGGATTTTCAGGTCACATTTTCTTGTTATATTACCCTGCACTATTGCACTAAATCTTAAGCAGACACATACACTAAGGAGTTACCTTAAAAAAATATATATATATATTTTTTGAATAAATGAAGGAAAAAGAGCGTTTCGTGGGGCTGGGAGCCTACAGGATTGCCGGTAGTTCTGATTTGCAAATACCAGATTAACAGAATTGGAGATTAGAGCATCTTCTCATGTATTTGGAAGCATAAAGCAGCTTTGGTATGAGAATAGAGGTAAACAGTTCTTCAGCCTAAAAAGTTGATGGCTGAAAAGATGACTGAAGTCTGTTTTTTAAAAAAAAACTGTAAAGGTTAGGGTGAACACAGGACTTTTTCACTAAATTCTATAATTCTTGATGGTAGAATCAATAAAGTTTGAAAGAAAGACATTTAGGGCAATGGTGAAATGTAGAACTTTCCTAAAGACATGGTATGTTAGATGTAATTAGCCTGCCGGGAGCCAGAGGAGTTGAATTTTTATTAAACTCAGACCAGTTTGTTTTAATATGGTCACTTGATTTTGGAATCAGAAGAACAGCATTCAAATCCAGACTCTGGCATTTATTAAATGTCAAATCACGTAATATTTTTAGTTTTATTTTTGTATCTGTAAAATGATAGCAGCACTTACAGTGTGCACTTCAAAATTAATGTATGTAAATGTATTTAAAAGTACTTTGTAAATTGTTAATTACATTGAAGCTATAAGATCATTAAGATTTGTTGTGTGACATTTGTTAAGCCAGGCCAATTTGTGGCAGGACAGGGAGAATCTAGCTCTGTGTTGGGATGAAATAAGGGTACTTTGAGAAATCCTAAAGTATAAGAACTTGGGCACGTTTCAAGGAAAAAGTAGGAAAGAATAGGAACCCAGAGTAAATTGATAATGTGTTGGAGACCCTGGTGACGCACTGGTTAAGAGCTGCGTCTCACTATGGCTGCTAACCAAAAGGTCAGCAGTTTGAATCCACCAGCCACTCATTGGAAACCCTAGGGAGTAGTTTTGCTCTATCCTATAGGGTTGCCATGAGTTGGAATTGACTTGACGGCAACAGGTTTTTTTTGTTTTTTTTTTAATGTTGGAGGAAAGGGGGAGGGGATCAAAAAAGAACTGGGTATATCAAGAATGTGTTGATCAACATAGGAGGCTTGGTATCAGGAATTTAGCCTTTTTTTTTTTAACTCCATTTTGAAATAATTTTAGACTTACAGAAGAGTTCAAGTGTTAGTAGAGTCCCGTATATCTTATACCCAGCTTCCCCGTATGTTAATATCTTACATAACCATGGTGCAGTTATCAAAACTAAGAAATTAACGTTGTGAAAATACTATTAACTGCAGACTTTATCCACATTTTACCAGCTTTTCCATTAATGCTCTTATTTTCTTTCAAGATCCAATCCAGGATCCCACACTGCCTTTAGTCATCATGTCTCCTTAGTCTCCAGTCTGTGATAGTTCCTCAGTTTTTCCTTGTCTTTCATGACCTTGACACTTTTGAAAAGTACTGGTCAGTTACCCTGGTGGCATAGTGATTAAGTGGTATGGCTGCTAACCAAAAGGTCAGCAGTTTGAATCCACCAGGCGCTCCTTGGAAACTCTATGGGGCAGTTCTACTCTGTCGTATAGGGTTGCTGTGAGTTGGAATTGTCTCAGTGGTAACGGGTTTCGGGTCAGTTATTTTGTGAATATCCCTCAGTTTGAGTTTGTTTGATGTTTTCTCATGATTAAGTTGATGTGATGCATTATTGCAGATATTGCAGGGCTGATGTGTACTTCTCAGCCGTCATGTCAGAGTGTACATGATAGCAACATGACTTACTTGAACTGGTAATGTTAACCGTGATCACTTGGTTAAGGTAGTATCTGCCAGGTTTTTCCTGGCATTTAGGGGAAGGTGGAAGGAAGGTATTTCATTTTTATCTTAAGGGTAAAAATATAAATGCATATTTACAGAGTAAGGAGTGAATTTATATAGTTCTTTACCAGAAGAGAAAAGATATAAGTTCAGGAAGAGATGCTGAGAATCTGTTAGGGAGATTGTTCGATAACTAGTTGCTAAAATATCCACTGGAATCTCACTCCTAAATCTACCAGAAGGCAACCATTAGAAATGGAATTGGATCTGGGTAGATCAGGGATATTACTTACTACGACATTTTAAAAAATTCTAACTATGCTCATTTTTGAAGAACAGCTCATTTAGGCAATGCTTTCCATTCTTCTCTCTGTAACTACCCAGTTGTGGAGAGATGAACTTCATAAACCACTTATTTTCTGGAAAGCTTGAGGATAAGCATTGATGATTAGATAGCAAGTAAACTGTGTTGGTGAAAGAGTGTGAGACAAAGGATAAAAAACTGTGCTCTCAGGAGCTACTTTAAAAAGATTCTGTCTCTTCACACAGAAGAGATTTTTCCTTTTCGGCTCCCGCTTTCTGCTTTCCTTATGTCAGTTGACTCCTTGCCAGCTTCCTATTGTTTTTCTTAAGTAGATGCTTTGCTCTGTGTTTGTTGGGGGGATTTTTATAAGTGAAATTCTGTTTCTGGACACGAGTGGAAAGGCTAAAACATTCTACAAATAGTTATTGATCACTTACTAACTGCCAGGCAATATGCCAGGCATTGCAGGAGACAAAAATAAATAATAAATGTATTTTACTTTCACAATGCCTAAAGTTTAGGAGAGCAGAATAGATAATTATAGTACAAAAGAGTATCTATTAAGTGCTATGGGAGCAAGGAAGCAATGGAGAAAGTTGAAAGCCACGTAGAATGGCTGAGCTGAGTCTTAAAGAACAAGTCAAAGTTAGCCATGCCTAGAAAAGAACTTTCTAGAAAGAGAGAATAACATATATAGAGGTATTGAGTAAGAAACAGTACAGGCAGTCCCTGAGTTAAGAACATCCCACTTACTTACAATCCATAGTAATGAACCAACCCCCGTAAAGCCTATTATATTAAAAACTTGAGGTACCTTACAATGGTTCGTAATAACAAGTGGGCGCTACTTTGCAGCGCACATCAAAACATTATTATTACAGTATTATGTTAAAGATGTAGCATATCTGGAAGTGTTTCTGTAAGGTTTTTTATGCATAGAAGGGTATACTAATACTAAGACAAACATTTGAGTGATGTTAGATATGAACTGTACGTAACCGTTCCAACTTATGTACAAATTCAACTTAAAGACTTAGGAATGGAACTCGTTTGTAATCTAAGGACTGCTTGTATTATGTTTTTCAGGAAGTGCAGTGATGTGTTTGGAATTTTGTGCTGTATATGGGGGATTGGGAAGAGATAAAGCTAAGGAGGTAGGCAAGAAATAGGATGTTGTGCTAAGAATTTTAGTTTTTTATTTTGAATCATTGAAAAATTTTCAGCAGTGGTGGAAATGACCTAAGTTATATTCTAGAAATATCACTTTAGAAGCAATATACAGGAAAAACTGAAGAAAGAGAGACTAAAGGCAAGGAGAACAGTTCGGAGATTGCCATGGTAGTCTCAAATATGTATGTGCCTGAACCAAGACAGAGGAATTAAGAATGGAGAAAAGATAGTATAGATTTATGAGATATCCTTTCTAAGAGAGAATGGATTTGACTTGGTTACTGGTACAGGATTAGTGAGGAAGGAGTGTAAGTAGGATATATGACTCCCAGGTTTTAGAACATGGTACCAGTAAGCAGACTAGGGTGTATAGAGGGAGCAGGTGGGGAATGAGTTCCGTTTAGTATGTTTTAAGTTAAAATCCTGATGGGACCGTCTAGTGGAGATGTTCTAAGGTATGTCTTAGTCTAACAGTCAGGAGACAGATTGTGGCTAAAGATAGACATTAAGAATTCATTATAGGTGGTGGTCACTTTGGTGGATGTCACTTGCAGGACTAAGGTGCGCCTGACCCAAGCCATGGTATTCTCAGTCGCATCATGCATGCGAAAGCTGGACAATGAATAAGGAAGACCGAAGAAGAATTGATGCCTTTGAATTATGGTGCAGGCGAAGAATATTGAATATACATACCATGAACTGCCAGAAGAATGAACAAATCTGTCTTGGAAGAAGTACAGCCGGAACGCTCCTTAGAAGCAAGGACGGCAAGACTTTGTCTCAAGTACTTTGGATGTGTTATCAGGAAAGAGCAGTTCCTGGAGAAGGGCGTCATGCTTGGTAAAGTAGTAGGTCAGTGATAAAGAGGA